AAGGAGGGGACCGACAGAATCCAGCCAGCTATCGTCCCATATGTTTGACTTCGATTTTGTGCAAAGTTATGGAACGGATTCTGAAACGGGCCCTTCGCCTACATCTCGATGAGTTGGAGTTCCTATCTCATGCCCAACATGGCTTCCGAAGGGCGCGTTCATGTGCTACAAATTTGCTGGTAGCTAGGGAAAAATGGGCAAGATCCTTAGATGCCGGTAAGCGTCTGGATGCTGTGTTTGTCGATTTCAGTAAGGCTTTTGACAAGGTCCCACATGAGCGGCTCCTCTTCAAACTCCGGGGAATCGGCGTCACTGGCAATTTTCTTTCATGGGTCTCCGATTTCCTGCAAGGTCGCTTCATGCAGGTCAAAGTTAACGAAGCGCTTTCTGATCAAATTCTCATGACTAGTGGGGTCCCCCAGGGTTCTGTACTCGGCCCCGAACTCTTCAATATCTTCATCAACGACCTGCCATCTGAACTGCAGACCGACTGCTTAATCTACGCGGATGATCTGAAGCTGTGGATTGAGGTTTCCAGTCTGGAAGACGCAGACATACTTCAAGCGACACTCGATCAGCTCCACGATTGGTCACTAAAGTGGCAGTTGCCCATTAACTATGACAAATGCGCTATCCTTCCAATCGGTGCTCCTGAGCCTTTTGGGGCTTACCATATCGGGGGTTTCCTGCTCAGAAATGTCAACCAAGAGAGGGACCTTGGGGTGATTGTGTCTCCTGATCTCAAATCAATGGAGGACACCCGGAGGAGGGTCGCATCCGCATACAGAATACTTCACGCTATACGGAGAGCCTTTTCACGCCTGACCCCAACACTCTTCAGATTACTGTTCGCTTCTCATGTACGCCCAGTTCTTGAGTACGGATTGCCTGCTGCGTACCCGCTCACTAAGTCCGAACGTGACATGATCGAGAAGGTTCAACGGCGTGGATCCAAATCCGTTCCAGAGCTTCGGGACTTATCCTACCTCCTCCGGCTACAACGGTTGAACCTGTTCTCTTTGGATTATCGTCGTCGCCGCGGAGATATGATATTCACCCGGCGTATTCTACGAGGTGAGCTGGGGAGTGAGCTGCAATCGTTCTTTTGTCTAAACACAAGTTGTGCAACTCGAGGCCACCGGTGGAAACTTTTCAAACCGCGGCGACTCCGTGTACGGTCAGATCTGGCCCTATCCACCCGGGTAGTGAATGACTGGAACAGCTTGCCAGAAGCTGTCGTCGATGCGGAGACTGAGGAATGTTTCAAACGACGGTTGGATACCCACTCTCTGAGTGCGCAGGGATTCTGCTGCCCACAATACAACCATAGCGATCTTCTGCTGAACCTTGTTCCGCAATGATCCCAGCAACCCTCGCAATGTCCGGGAAGTGACGGAGCTGACAAAGGAACTTCCTTCTGCTCTCTACTAACCAATGAACCAATGAACCAATGAACCAGAAGAGAGGCCCCGTGAAATCTTCTTCACTTCGTCGTGAACCGATTTATCTAACGGTGTCTAGACAGCTGCTGTATTACTTTCATTACTTAACATTTTACTGTAACCTGATAACTTCTATAACCCTTTTAGGCATCATAATACAACCACAGAGCTTTCCAGAATATCGATCAGAACCTTCTCAATGCGAAACGGATCCCACCAGTGCAACAATCATTTTGACTGCCAATAAGATATTCACAGCTGCCAGAGATATACCAGCTTATGGCATCCTTTTCCAA